CTTTCCTCCAAGGGACATGAAAAGACTGGAATTGCATGGCACATATTGGAGCACCTCTCCAACCTCAGAAATCTGGCCTGAGGTGCAACAGAAGAAAGGGCAGGACCCACAGGCGGAGGCACAGTCTGAAGTTGGTTTGGTTGCTTCTTGGCTGGGTGACACTGGACAGAATCTCTCTCCACTCTGGTTCCTGAGCTACTGTACCTTGGTGCTGATGGTAACCTCTTCTGAGGGTTAGTGTGAGGCTCAGAGATAGCAATATACACCTTGGGCTCCAGGACACAATCAAAGGGAGGCTTTGAGCAAAGATGCTACAGGGTTCGCTTTGGGTATCATCCCAGGGGTGGCACCAGCCTGGGATCAGCTGGTCCTTCAGGAGAGTAATACCCTGTCACACCTACTCCTTAGGCTATAGTTAGAAGACACATGCCATTGCATTCCTGAATCTTTATCCAAGAAAAACAAAAGTATGTTTTCACAACAAAAACCTGGGCATGAATGTTTCTAACAACTTTCCTCATAATAGTCCCAAAGTGGAAACAACCTGTATGTCTGTCAACAAGTGAATGATTAGATAAACTATAACGTGTCCATAGCATGTAATTCTGCCCAGAACAAAAAGGAACAAACTGTTGACACACTCAACAACTTGGGTGACTCTCCAGAGAATCATGCCAAGTGAAAATATCTATCTCAGCAGATATAATTATATGATTACATTATCAAAATGTCTTGAAATGATAGTTCTTAAAATGAAGATCAATCTTGTGATCATTAGGGGTTAAGTCTGGGGTGATTGTAGCATTCTGAGTTAGGGAGCCCTCTCACATCTGTCCGATTCTCCATGCTTTGCCCCCAGACTTGTCTGTCCATCCCTTCTCCCTGGTGTGAGGCTGAAGGATTTCTCTGAGTAAGTTTACCAAGACAATGCCAATGACCTACAGATATTGCTGGGTGGGATTCCTATTATTTAGATCTTGGGTGTCCCCCAAAGGCTCCTGCATGGAAGACTTTGTCCCAATCTGTGATGCTATTGGAAAGTAGAAGAAATATTGGGAGGTGGGGCCTAATGGAGGAAGTTAGGTCACTAGGGGCATGCCCTTTCTGTCTCTCTCTGCTTCTCAGCCATCATGAGCCGAGCAGCTGTGGTCTACCACATACTCTCTCTCATGATGCCCTGCCTCATCACAGACCCTAAGCGACAGGGCCAAGCAAACGGGCTGGAACCTCTGAAGCTGTTAGTCCAAATAAAGCTTTCCTCCACAGAAGCTGTCTCAGGTATTATGCCACAACAATGGAAAGGTGAGTGCAGCACTTCCCAAAGGCACAGATGCAGGTCTGTTCATCCCCCCACACCATGAGGCCCTGTTCAAGGCCATTCATACCAAGAAAGTTCTCAAGCAGACTTGTAGTGTCTTGTTCTTCAATGTAAATAGCCAGCAAAGGATGCCAGGCAGATAGCCAAACAAACAGAAGGTGAACATTGAGGGTAAGATGAGGGAAGGAAACTCAAAAAGAAAAAGGAAGAAAATAACCCGCTATAATTCATATATTCAGAGAATAGAGATATTACACCCCAAAAGTAAGTAAGAATACCATTTAAAAAGAATAAAAAATGTTTGTCACAGGGCTGGAAAGATGGTTCAGCAGTTAAGAGCACTGGCTGCTCTTACAGAAGACCTGGATTTGATTCTCAGCACCCATATGGTGGCTAACAACCATCCATAACTCCAGTTCCGAGGATCCAACATCTTCTGGCTTCCACAGGCACTGTATGACTCAGGTGCACTTGCACACATGCAGGAAATATGCCAAAATAAAAATGATAAAATATTTTTCTTTCCTTTCTTTTTTTTTTTCTTTTTTCCTTTTTCAGTCTTTTGAGACAGGGTCTCCCCTGTAGCCCAGCTGGCCTGGAACTTACTATGTAGACCAGGTTGATCTTGAACTCACAGAGATCTGCCTGTCTCTACCACAATTAAGAATATAGCATAAACATTAAAGTCTATGAAACACCATGAAAATATCAAGTTGTATAAATCTTTCAGAAGACTAACCAAAAGGAGAAAATAGGGAAGATTCGATGAGAAAGTTAGAGGATCCAGCTAGGAATTTAATGTCTTTAAAGTAGGAGTTCCAGAAAGAGAAAAGCAAAAAAAAATAGTGTCAATACAAAAGCACAACTCTCTCCTCAAAGGGGATGAGAGTTTATTCTGCAGCCAAATATTCTGACCCAGGAAGACAGCTTCAGGTTACTCAAAGCCCATGTTCTAACATGACAGAAGTTTCATAGTTTCTATAATAACAGAACAAAGAAAGTTATAAATCAAGAACTTTTCAAATACATTGATGGAAACAACAGGTAGGCAGGTTACAGCAAAGTGGGGAAATCTCACCTCAGGCCTCAGATGCTGTCTGATGACATTCTTAGCCTTTTTGTTTGTTTGTTTGTTTTGAGGCAGGGTCTCTCTGTACCCCCAGCTGGCTTGGAACTTTCTATGTAGGCCAGGCTGGCCTCAATCTCGGAGTGCTGGGATTAAAAGCACCACCACACCAGGCTCATTCTCAGCCTTTTGTTTGGTGGAAGCTAACGGTTTGTTTGTACATCCCAAAGGATTTACCTAATGGCCACAAAGACGTTAAGTCATATACAGAGCTGGGTAATAAATGACTATGAAGGGAGCTAAAGATGACCCAAGTTAAGCTGTAATCAGGCTCTGTATCTACAACATTCCAACCGTTCCATGATCATGGAAGCACTAATCATTTATTCAGCCTTGCAGAAGGTGTGGTTCTTTCCAGGAACTTTCCTTATAACAGAGAGGAGGAAAAATTCCCAGAACTGGGGATATGATCTTCTGAGTAGACAAAGGACTTGAGAGAGGTTCAGCAAGGTGGAGAAAGGAAGGCTTGCACCAAGACATACCACTGTGGAAGTTAGATCACTGCAGGTAAAGAGAAGCCTCTAGAGAGGAGTGGCAGGGTACACGTCCCAGGCTAGGCATCAGAAGGGCATCAGACCGAAAGCTTGAAGATGAGTTGCTTCACTATCCTGAGGGACTGTTTCCAGCCTACAGTTTTTACCTGCCTTAACTACAGGTCACTTATGAAGGCAAAATAAAGGTATATACTTAAAGAAATTTTTGATGGTACATGCCTGTAACCCAGCACTTGGAAGGTTGAGGCAGGATGATTGCTGTGAGTTCGAGGCAAGCCTAGGCTCCACAGTGAGTACTGGGCCAACCAGAGCTACATAGTAAGACCCTGTCTCAAAAAAAAAAAAAAATGTACTTCCAGATACTTGCTTTCCCTATTCCTTCTTAAAGACGCTTTGGTGGATGTGCTTCATACTAAATGGAGGAGGAAACTGAGAAAGAGGAGGCCCAATATGAGACACAGGTGAAAAAAATATTCCCAGTGGAATGGGGAAGGCTGCACCTGAAGAAGCTGTGTGTAGAGCCCAGAGAGGGGGCAACTCAAGCGCAGCAAAGCTGCTCAGAGTCCTGGCTATTTTTAAACAGAGAACGGAGTCGTAACAAAAGGAGAGCTGTAGTTCTATTGGTTACTTTGAACTGAATTGATGATAGGCACCTAGAAGACTAAGTTCTTAAAAAATGAGACTATGGGGGCTGGAAAGATGGCTCAGCAGTTAAGAGCATTGACTGTTCTTGCTGATCTGTCCCCAGCATCCATGTGGTGGCTAACACCTGTCCTTAACTCCAGTTCCAGAGAATCTGGCCTCTGTGGGTACTGTATACATGTGCATTTACATACCACCAGACAAAACAGTCATACACATAAAATAAAAATGAAAAAAGAATTTTAAAACAACACAGTGGATCTCTGTGAATATGAGGCCAGCCTGGTCTACACAGTAAGATTGTGTCAAAAAAAAAAAAAAAGAAAGAAAGAAAAAGAAAGAAAGGAAGGAAGAAAGAAAAGGAAAAGCCAGGCATGGTGGCACACACTTTTAATCCCAGCACTTGGGAGGCAGAGGCAGGCAGATCTCTGTGAGTTCAAGACCAGCCTGGTCTACATAGTGAGTTCCAGGACAGCTGGGGCTACAGAGAGACCCTGTCTCAAAAGAAGACAATTATTCATACTAAGAAATTTTTTTTTAAAAATGCACAAAATAGTAGATATTCTTCATGTAATAATAATATAAATTTTTTTTTTGGTCTTTTTGAGACAGGGTCTCCTGGTAGCCCCAGCTGGCCTGGAACTTGCTATGTATACCAGGCTGGACTTGAACTCACAGAGATCTACCTGCTTCTGCCTCCCAAGTGCTGGGATTAAAGGCATGTGCCACCACACCCAGTATCATAAATTTTGAATATTGATTTACCACCCCTGCTCCAATTTGATGTAAATCTTTTGGGAAGATAAGGGTCAGTGAGATGTATGTATACATACTTGTTATCTTCATATTTCATATTAAGGAGTCAGAAAGCAATATTCCAAATAGGAAAGCAGGAAAATATCTAACATGTACGATGTGATTTAGAAAATAGAGGTAATCCTGCTGGGCATGTTGGCACATGCCTTACTTCTGTGCACCTCAAATATCAAACAGATATTAATTTTATTACATTTATTTGTGTTCGTGTGCATGTACACATATGTGTGTGGGCATGTGCATCCCACAGCAGACATGTGAAAGTCAGAGGACATCTTGTGGGAATCTGTTCTCTCCTTCAACCATGTGAGCCCTGGAGATGGAACTCAGGCTATCAGCCTTGGCTGCAAGCACCTTTACCTTCTAAGCCATCTTGGTGGCCCCAGATAGCAATTTTTATATATCCATAGTAAAGTAATGCTTTCCTGAAAGGCAGCTGAAGCTCAGAGTCATGGAGTGTAGAGATGGGCAGAGCATGAATGACAACAATAGCCTGGAAGAAAGGACAGTTCCAACCATACCAAATGAAGAGTGAGATACTGTGAGGATACAGAAACAGAATTCTAGTGGGGAGAAGTACAGAAATTATGAACTTCACTGCAGGAAGTAGAGTTGGGTCCTGGTTTTCAACTAAATAGCTGAGAGTTTGGGGAGTGTATTCTTTTTCTCAGGACCATAACAAATTACCACAACCTTGAGGGCTTACAACAATAAAAGTTTATTTTCTCAGTACTAGAGGGCTGGAAGTCTGAAGGCAAGAGCTACTTTTCCTCTGCAGAGTCTTGGGGGTGTTATGGGTTAGATCTGAAATGTTCCTTGTCAGCTCACATGTTGCATGCTTGGTCCCCAGCTGGTGGTGTTACCTGGGGAGACATGGAAATTTTAGGAGATGAGGGTGTTCTAAATGGAAGAAGTATGTCATTGGGGCGTGTCTTCGAAGGCTGTGCCTGGTTCACGGTCCCTCTGTTTGCTTCCTGGTCACCAAGAGATGAAGAACCTCCTCCACCACACAACCCCGCTGTCATGACGTTCTTCCTAAGTGCATGGGGTCAACCGACCCAGGACTGAACCCCCAGAAACCATAAGACAAAGTAAATCTTTCCTCTTCTACGCTGTTCTGTCCCAGCTAATCAAAAGTCTTCATATGAAGTGGGGTGCTCCTTGCCTTGTCTCCCTTTTGGCTGTAGTCAGCATTCCATGATGTTCCTCACCTTGTGGAAACCACACTCTCCTCTTGGCCTCCACCTTCTCTTGACATTCCTTGGTTGTGGTAGTGAATGATCTCCTCCTGCCTCTCTTTCAGAATACCTGGGATGACATCCAGGGCCCATCCAGGTAATCCAGGATCATCTCCTCATTTTGAGACCCTTAGTAGCATCTGCAAAGGTCTATTTCCAAACAAGGGAACATTTACAAGTTCTGGGGATTTGATACAGATGTATTTTGGCAGACCACTTTTCAGACTGCCACCAAGAGTGACCGAATTTAAGAAAACAGAAAAACTTGAACTAATCCTCAGGGGAAATTCAACAGGCAAGCAATAAGAGCAGAAAAATGGTTGCTGGATAACAAAGAAATGGACTTGAACCAACCAGCATGAAATTTTGGATGTGAATCTTTTCAACAACTGTAATAGTTTTAAGTCATTTTTTTTTTTAAATACATGTCTCACTGGCCATAGTCTCGTAGGCTAGGCTGACCTCAAAGATCCATCTGCCTCTGCCTCCCTCAAATGGCTTTTTATTTTCTGATTCATTAGCACTTTGAATAACAAGAAAATTGAAACATTTTTCTTAAGGAATGTGTAAGTTTTTTGTGTGCTAGTCAGGTATGGGCAGCGCCTGGGAGTACTTGGGAGGCAGCTGCAGGAGGATTGCTGCAAGTTTGAGGCAAGCCTGGTCTACAGACCAAGTTCTAAGCCAGCTAAGGCTATTTAGCAAAAGAAAAAAGAGAAAGATTTTAGGTACATCATGGAAAAATAAAATCAAGCAAACATATGGAGAAGGCTATTTTGGACAAGTGTAAATCAGGCAAAGCCTAGGTTACAAACTGAATTTCTGACAAATATTTTAGGTAGCAAATATAAGGCATTTTATAAATTGATGAAAGAAACACAGAGGAAACAACGATAATGAGCAGTGGGAATGACTTATGAAAACAAGCACAGTCTGTTCTAATAATCTTTAACTGCAGCAAAACCATGTACTCTTATGTCTTGTGCCCTGGGAACTTCAATTTGGTACTCCTTCCAAAAAGATAATGAATGATATACCTGAGAATTAGAATATCAAAGTGCTGAAATCAAGAACACTAACCTTCATTGCACACAGTAGAAATGGGGAATGACTCATGACCTTGGGTGAATGAGGTATTCTAGAACTGGGGATGTAAAGGCTAGATGGTCTGTTAAGATTAGTGTGGAGCCAAACTTGTACTTCCCCAACTGAAGCTGGAGAAACCATTTTGAATAAAATTATGAGTGGATCTGGGCTGCAGGACACAGTTCCAGGGAGAGAGTTCCAGCAAGAGAGTTCTATCAGCACAGTTCCAGGAGACAGTTGCAAGAAATCTCTGAGGGGATGAGTATCTTCTGAAGTTGGGCTCACTCCTAAAAACTAAATGCAAGAGTCAGGCTTTGTTGTTGTTGTTGTTCAGGTAATTATAATGTTGGTGTAGTAATGCTGCAATGAACAAGTATGTACCTAACCACATAGCCTTGGGTTATGTAAAGCAAGGTAGTCTGAACAAAAGATATGTTCTATATCTGTACTGTTCTGAACAATAACCAATAGCATGTGGGTATCGAAGACTTGAAATTGGCTAGAGTGGTACAGGAATTAAATTTTAGCTCTTACATTACTTTAATTAATTGAAATTTAAGTAGCCACACATGACTGTTAGCTACTGCATTCTACACTAGAAAGCACTTCTGAAACAACAGCTGAATGAATTATGAGGAAAAATATATAGACCTGCACTTTGCCAAAAGGCTGAGAAGTGATAAAAGAAATATAAAAAGCAGAAATACTAGAGGGAGACAGCAACATGCTCCTCATGGAAGCAGATTGATGAAGAAAGCAAGAACAAGCCAGGCATCTTGGTGCACACCTGCAGTCCTAGCACATGGAAGGGGGAGCTTCACAGGAGGATCAGAAGTTCAAGGCTGCATAGGGAGCACCTGATCAGCCTGGATATATGAGTCCCTGTTTCAACAAAGCAAAACAAAACAAGCCTTCAAAGCAAGAATGATAGCTAGTATTAGCAATAGATTTCTCCACAATAATAGCCTCTTTTTTTTTTATTTGGTTTCCTGTTTTAATTTTTTTTTTTTTTTTTTTTGTCTTTTTTGAGACAAGGTCCCCCTGTAGCCCCAGCTCTCCTGGAACTCACTATGTAGACCAGGCTGGCCTTGAACTCATAGAGACCCACCTGCCTCTGCTTCCCAAGTGCTGGGATTAAAGGCGTGCGCCACCATGCCTGGCCTTCCTGTTTTGACTTTTAAAAGTTGGGCTTCTTACACAGTTTGATGACAAACACATTCCACTATTTGCATAATTGATTCAATTCACTGTCATCATGATTCATAGCTGATCATGTTTCAGGTATTAAAAACTGTTTTCCCCTTTGGAACCTTGGGTCAATATTTGGATGTTCTGGTGGATTGAAGTCTCAAAACAGGAGGTGCCATGGCGTGCACCTATGTTCTGTGACCCTGGGCTCCCTCCAGCTACTGCTGTATCGCCCTTTCCCCAAAGAAGTCTGTGGTCGCTGTCTTCTCTCCTTGTCCCTCTCCAGTGCTGGCTTCGTCCTCAAATCTTCACTGAAACTGCACTAAGGCTCTCCATGACCTTCCAGAGGCCCAGCATAACAGAAAATTTCCAATGCTGATCTTTAAAGGGAGGGTACCTGCAGCATCAAGCAGTGTGATCATACCTTCTTGTGGCTCCCTTCTCTCATTATTGTTGTTAATATTATTGTTGATACAAGTCTTCTGGTTCGCTGCTTACCTCTTAGATTGCTCTTCTTGCTGCTTAAATATCAGTTCCTGCTGCACTAAGCTCTTAGCCATTCCTGCGTCTCAAGCGTGTCTTGCCTCCCTGGGGAATCCTGCTTAGCTCTGTAGTTGCAAGGATCCCATTAGCTGATCACTCAGCAACCTCTTTCTTTCTTTTCTTTTTTCAATATATACATATCTATATATATTTATTGAATTTTGTGCATTTCATACAATAAATTTTAATCATATTTAGCCCCCCTCCCCTATCTGCAGCCCCATAGTGCTCCCACTGGATTTCATGCATTCTGGCATATATGTTAAGGCCTATTGAGTCAAGTTTGTGTTCCCAGATGTCAGCTTCCTTCTTAAACTCGAATCCTGTTCACCTTCACAGTCCTGAGGCTCAGCCTGGCCCATGATTCTCCCCTGCACATTGCTTCCACCTTACCTTTCTTATACAGTTCTGCTTGGTGTTGTGACTCCTTCATCTAGCTCATCACGAAAGTCAGAAGCTAGAACTTAACTGGGCTCTCCTCTCTTTTTTGTGCTTCATGCCATTGTTCTCCAGTCCTAAGATCCTTTGATCTGAGCATCTCCTGCCTCTCTTCTCATCTTCCTCGCCTCAGCTCAAGACCTCCCCTGTGCTCTCCTGGAGCACTCAGGTTTTTGTGGAGAGCCGTAGGCCCCCACCCCAGAATATAGCAAGACCTGGTTCCTGGCAAAGCTGTTTTCCAGACATCAAGGCTGACCTGGTTTGAGATTAACCAGATGACTATACTTGAAAGCCTCACACAAACATGTTGTTCTAACTTGGGCACTTACTGCTTGAGAGACTCCCTCATTTCTCATGGAACTGCTTAGAAAACATCTTTGCATTACCTTGTAATCATGCAGGTGTAACCCTATAATTGATTTATAACTTGCTATAGAATTGTGGTGTTACTATGGAATTTACTCTGTGATTAGTTGGTGTGGTGTAATTATAATTGTTCTGTTAATTGAATTGCTCTGCCTCAATGGATTTATCCCTGCCAACTTCCCCCTTTTCCCTCACTATAAAAACTTTGTGTAGATGTTCAATAAACGAGACTTGATCAGAAAGCCTGTCTTGTCTCCATTCTTCGCGTCTCTTGTCCCTTTCAGTCCCCTCTCCTCTCTCCAGGTACCCACGTTGACTGTCTCGCAGGTCGAGACAGGTTTTCTCACCTGGCCCCCTACCCACAATCTTGCTTTCTCTCACTCTGTATTTTGTACTGCTTTTTTTTTTTGTAAGCTAAGACTTTGGACTGAGGGGATGGCTCGACGGGTAAAGTACTTACTCACTGGATCTGTTTAATTCCAAGAACCCATGTAAAGATGCCAGGCATGGTGGCTTGTTCCTGTAGTCCTAATACTGGGGAGAAAGAGACAGGCAAACCAACCCAAATGAAACAAACACCCTCCACCCAAAGAAAAAACCCAAAGGGACAGTGCCTGAGGAGCTACACCTGCAATTGAACTTTGGTCTTCACATGCACACACATATCACACACACACACACACATACACACACACACACACACACACACAAGTTTAAGCCAGGTGTGGTGGCTCATGCCTGAAAGAAATTCCAGTATTTGGGAGGCTAAGGCTGGAGATCTGCCAAGAGTTTGAGGCTAGTTCGGGGTACATAGTGAATTCAAGGCCATTCTGGGCTACAGAATGAGATAGTACTTGAAAGTGCAGAGAGAGAGAGAGAGAGAGAGAGAGAGAGAGAGAGAGAGAGAGAGACAGACTTGGGAAGATCAGGAAGAGTTCAAGGTTATCCTCAGCTCTATAGTGAGTTTAACAGTAGTCTGGGTTAAAGGAGACTAACTCAACAAAACAAAACAAAACAAAACCAAAGAAAAAGCAAGCAAACAAAAAACCAAGTCAAGCGTTCGCCATTGTCCTAGTCACATCTTTCATGATAAAGGCCGCCATATTCTTTGCACTCCATCAACCTCGCCTTTTGAGAACAGCACATCAATCCTTCTTGGATCTGCCCTGTTGCATACAGACCTGATAGAATCATAAGTCAAGAGTCCCCAGCCTTCCCAAACCAGATCACTGATCTGTTTCCAAGCACTTCAGGTCTTGCACAGATTGATTCAATGACGAGAACGTGTCACTCAGACTTTGCTCTGCTGTGGAGCCAGCTGCACATTCCTATGGGCCTTTCCCTCCCAGTTCTGTCAGTTCCCAGTTATTATTTTCATTTCTTTTCTGATGAAAGCAGAAAAAAAATGATTTTTGTTGGTCACGGCTAGGAAACCTGTTTCCAAATAGGAGCCTCCCCTCAGTTAGTGTCCCTCCCCTGGTGTGATGCTCAGCCATGGTCTACCTGTGCCAGGGGCTCCAGCTTCTGTAATAATGTGCTGCAGCCTGGCACACTACACCTAGAAAATTCCTCTTTTCCCTTCTTCAGTGCTCACCTCTTGCCATTTCCTCTGTACAGGCTTCCTCCCTTGTTACCTGTGAGCACTTGGTCATCCAAGGGCCCTTGTATTTCCGTCTGCCTTGTACTGAAGTTGCCCCTTTATGTGTATACCCCCCCTCAGCCTAACACAGTAGGTGCTCAGCAAGTGCTACTCTGTACCTCAATTTCCTCATCTATAAGCTGGAATAACAGAAACTATTTTTAGACACCAAAGTTTTAAATTATAACTCAGGAGAAAACATCATTGTCAAAGTAAGCAGAAAACAAGTCTGTTAGCAGAACAGCCATGCCTTGGAGAAGAGTCTTTCTGGTTGAGGGCCAGGATCAGAACTCAGGCAGGAAGGAGGGTGCTGGGAAGCCAGGGTCTGGAAAAATCTGATCTTGTACCTCTGTGTCCAGGCCCCACTCATGGGCAAGGGCAAACATTTCTCTGGTCTTTTAAACTTCTGTAATGAGAATGAAGCCCAGTCTTACCATGACTCCTACCATGGGGACATCCTCAAATATTGGGTTGTGGCAGTTTGAGTGCTCAGCTGTATTGCTTCATGAAGATATCCACCATGAGCTGGAGAGATGGCTCAGTGGATAAAGTGCTTGCCACACAAGCATGAGGACCAGAGTTTGGATCCCAGAACCTGCATAAGAGCCAGGCAGGCATGGCAGCTGCCTGTAATCCCAGTACTCAGGAGACAGAAAAGGTGAGCTTTGAGTTCATCAAGCAGAAAGTGATTGAGGGAGACACCAGGTGTCAGCTTCAAGCCTACACACACACACACACACACACACACACACACACACACACACACCTGCTGTGTGACAGACTCTCTTCCCAGTGCTAGGAACACATCAGCAGACAAAACAGACAGGACTTGGGTTCCGATGCATCTAGATTGTAGTGTTTATCTGGTGTTTTGCTTGAAAATGAGTGTGGATGTTTACATTTTGTTTCTTTTAAAAAATGTTTTATTTATTATTTTTTAATGTGCATAAGTGTATTGCCTGCATGTTTGTGTACCCTTGTCATACAATGCCCACAGAGGTCAAAACAGATTGTCAGATCCCCTTGAACTGTAGTTACAGACAGTTGTTAGCTGCCATATGGGTGCTGGGAACTGAACCCAAGTCCTCTGCAAGAGCAGCCAATGCTCTTAATTGCTGATCCATCTCTCCAGTCCCTACATTCTGTTTCTTATGGGACCAAGGGTAATATACCTGAAACATATCAGGGCTTGTTTCAATGCAAAAAGAATTGCTTCCTACTAAAAGGGCAAAGCAGCTGCCCTGCTTCATTTGTGCAAGAGATGGTAAATGGTGTTTTTTTATTTGAGCACATTTTGGTTGACACCAAGAGTAAAACTTTAACTGTGGTGTAGAGTCTGTGGTGGAGAGAAGAGAAAGCCAGGGGAACGGGGGCAAAGGATGAGAGCTAATGAAGGGGCAGAGACCTTGCCAGTCTCTGTCAAGATCAAGGCACAGAATGTTCTGGAAGGCTCTCCCACTGCCTGATGAGCCAGAAAGAATAATATACTTTCTTCCTTTTTTACTTTTTGCTATATTTTATTTAATTTTTTGAGACAGGGTCTCATGTAGCTCAGGCTGGCCTTGAGCTCCCTATATAGCAAAGGATGACTATGAATTTCTGACCCTCCTGCCTCCACTTCCTGAGGGCTAGGATTAAAGGTGTGGACCACCATGCGCAGTGGCAAGTATGGAACCCAGAACTTTGTGCATGCTAGACAAGCACTCTACCAACTAGGCTACAATCTGCAGCCCAAACACTCTTTCTTTAAGGGGCTCCTGTGGAGACTGGCCTCAAACTGGCAGCAAGCATGCTATTGGTGGCAACAGTTCCGGACTAATGGGCCACAGGCTCCTGGCTCAGCATGCACTTGACCACTGTGGTCATCAGGCTGGCTAGGGAGTAGAATGTGGCTGGCAAAGAACCAGAGAGGTGGCTACCGCAACCATGACAAAAGATAGTAGCCTCCCTCTGCAGAGGGGCAGAGAGGCAGCAATGGCCCTAGAGTTTACAGAGCCAAATGCCAAGTTGGCAGAAGGCCTAGGAGACCCACTTACCTCATGATGGGTGGTTTGGAGGGCTTTGTTGCCTCAGGCACACAACTGAAGAGATTTATGAAAAACAGATGCTGGTTGGAGAGGGATGAGGGGAGGTACAGCTCCTCATCCTGAAGGAAGGTTTGGAAGGGGCTTCCTACCCTCCCCCTCTGGTCAGAAGTAAATCCAGAAAAGTCCGACTTAGGTGAGCACTTACCAGCCTAGCCTGGAACAGAAAGGGAGCCCGTGGCCCAGAGTTAACACTATTCTAAAGTCCTTTGTTTCTCCAAGCAGTCTTGTGTACTATGTTGGAATGATCCCCATTTTCATAACCACAAAGACTCTAAGTAACTTGCCTGCCCAAGATCATCCAGCTAACTAGGACTTGAACCAGGGCAGTTGGGTTTAGAATCTTAAATCTCACTTGGCACTAACCTTGCATCTTCTACCCTAGAACAGAGGGTAATCCCTTTTTTTTTCAGCACCAATTGTCTGATTAGATGATTTATTACCTCTATCTCATGTGCCTTACCCAAGATCACATGGTTTTTGGCAGAGCCTGGATCTGTTTATTTATTTATGTACATGTGTACATACTTCCACACACACAGGGGTATATGTGCATTCAGAGGCTAGAGGTTGATATCAGATGTCTTCCTCAATCACTCTCCACCATATTTTTCAGACAGAGTCTCTCACTGAACCTGGAGCTCACCAACTGGCTATACTGGCTGGCCAGGAAGTCCTAGGGATCCTCTTGTCTCTGCCTCCCCAACACTGGGATTATAGGCACATACCACTATGTCCGGCTTTTAAATTTTTAATTTACTTTTTAGTTTCAAAATAACAGTTATGTATTTATTTTGTGTGTATATGTGTGAGTGTCATGTGTGGAAGTCAGAAGACAATTTTAGGAGTCGAGTCTCTCTTACCTTGTGGGTCCTGGGGATTAAACTCAGGTCATCAGGATTGGTGACATGTACCTTCACCCAATGAGCCATCTTGGAACTCCCCCTTTTAAAAAAATTTATTTATTATTTTTATTTTATGTGTATGAGTGTATTGCCTGCATGTATGTAAGTGTACCTTAGTCATGCAATGCTCACCAAGGTCAGAAAGAGGGTGTCGGATCCCCTCGAACTTGAGGGTTGTTAGCCATCAAGTGGGTACTGGGTATTGAACTCAGGTCTTCAGCAAGAGCAGCTAGTGTTCCTAACCACTGAGCCATCTCTCCAACACCCCCCTCCCCAACACTTTTTTAGGTGGATGC